GAGAGAGAGAGAGAGAGAGAGAGAGAGAGAGAGAGAGAGAGAGAGAGGTATGACAACAGATTTTTTAAAAAGCACTTAAGAGGGTTTATCTGTTCTCAGGGCACAAGGTAATTTACTGTTTAGCCCATATTTCTTTATCCGTCATTACCAGCTGCATGGATGCATCTGGGTATTGATGAGGAAATGAACACAAACTGCCCAGCCACACTCCCCTGTGCATGATAATGAAGTTTTAACTGTAAAACTGTTGCAAAGCTCCTGCTACTTATTGAGCAGGAGTCAAGCAAAATTTTGTTTTATGGGATTTACAGTTTTAGAAGTAGAACTGATGGACTTAATAGACGCAGCAGAGATGATGGCCGGAGACAGTGTGTGTGTGAGACAGTGTGTGTGTGTGTGATCTCTTATCATCTGTGTCAGGGCTCCCTCAGGTACCTGCATCAGTTGTTGTTTCTGCTGACAAAGCCTCTTTGCATGTACAGTACACACACACACACCCACACACACACATTCCTCACTCATTCTTTTCTCTCTGTGGATAAGTCGTTAATCACGTTTTAGGCACAGACATCAGAAACTAGAGAGTAAGACTGTTCTGTGAAGTATCATAGCATGGGTCATGAGGAGGTGAAATGTTCATGTGTGCCCAGTTTGTTATTTTGCAAACTGCTATGAGCATTATCTCTGTGGTTTTGATCTGACACTGTTAAGAGCTGCATCAGTGGCTTCCTGCTCGCACCTCAGCCTAAAAATAGAGCGGAGAGAAGAACACCCTTGCCCCACCCACATTGTAACGCTAGACACATTTACATAACCTGTGTGTTTCACCGGAGGTCTTATTATTGTCAACTGATGTATATGAGAGTGTATACTGTAGAAACTCCTCGTGCATTAAAGTGTTGCGTGTAATAGGCGCCACTGATAGCAAGTCATCTCTGTGGAATGAGTATGATGAGAAAGGAAAACCCCTCGTCAGACAGCAGGAGGAGCGGCTGAGTGGAACCAGGGTAGGTCACCTCAGGGCACTGCTGCTGATTGGCTGGTCAGATGTGTCAGAGTAGACCCAGGGCTGCTGCTGTGTGTTAGGGGCTCTGAGGAGAGAAGTGCTGTACACTGTATGTGCGCTGTACGGTGTGCGTGTGTTTTGGCTTAATGTAGGCTAGACTTTGGCTTTTCTTCTTCCTGGCACGGCCCTGACTGTGTTTCCCCGCTCAGAGCTGGCAGTCTAGACTGCCATGAATAATGTAAGCAATGCTCTCCCCAACCTTAAAACCTTCTAATCGCCTCGTTTAAGGGCTGCATCAACAGCTACGCCAGGGATCATTCTTCTTCTCATCCAGCCACGTTCACTTTTTACTACCAACTTGGTTGCCGTCTCTCTTTCATCTGCTTGTTTTTTATTGTCGTCAAACTCTTCTCTCTAAAAGTCAAGTGTGAAAGGAACAACTTTCTTCAGTGACGATGTGATGTAGACACTTCTGCAAGCTCCATTCCCCTCCTGATCTAACTTATCTACATGTAACTCTCGAGAGTAATGTGTCTCTCTCACATACAAAAGTCTCCCCGTACAGCCGAACATGTGGAAGACAAGCAAATGAAAACAGAGAAGTGAAATATAATTGGTGTTGATTTGTTTTGTTGTGCTGCCTAATTGCTGTGTGTTGATGGTAAAAGTCTGCTGTAATCAAAGCGTTGATCTGCTTGGAGAAACACACACTAAACAGATGATCAGCCCTCAGCAGATGTGGGGGAACGTGGAGATGGAGCGAGAATCTGTCAAGTTGTTTCCAAGAGGAAGGCTGATTCTCTTTCTTTTTTTTTTCCCACTGTAAACTGGCGCTAATGAAGGCTGACTGTGCAGTGGGTTTTTTTTAGACATATGGAGAGAGCAAAAGTGTGGCTCATTAAAAAAAAACTGTCAGTGCTGCCTTGCCACCGCTGGCACCTTGAGCTGCAGTCTTCTGCTGGGCCTGTTTATTCAGCCACTGGATCACTGGAGTCTTTTCTCTCTTTCCCACCTCTTCTCATGTCATCTTGCACTCTTTCTTACCCCTACTCCATATGCATATCTCTAATATTAAAGAAAATCTATACATTTTCTATCTCTCACCTCATTTTAGTCAGTTTCTGCGTTTGCTCTGAATCAGTACCAATCCTTTGTTTTCTTCTGGGATGCTCTTTGCTGTCATAGGTGGTGCACGCTGTCTACACCATCACATAGATCTACAGCTGAGAGGTGAACACACACACAGCGGTCCTCCCTCAGCAAGCGCTGATCTGCAGAGTCTGACAGAATCGGGGGAGGTAGCAAGTAGTGTCAATGTCTTAAGGCGATGATTGATACTCTGGATCTGCCTGTGCTGGGACTGTCAGCTGTTGGGCATGGCTGCTCGGTGAAAATGTTATGATTGGCCCCATCCATTCCCAGAATGTGTTTTGATTGGCCGCGATTCAAGAATCCTGTGTCTCAAGTTGAGATGGAGTGCAGATATTGTAGTAAGTGGGGATTATTGCAGAACATACATCTTGATAAAAGAGAAGATTTCATCGCACCCGCAAGTCTCCGTGATCAGCTATATTGGCTCCTCATATACACAGCTCTCTAGTAGTGTGTGTGTGTGAGTGGGAAATATTACAATAGATCTATCTTGATAAACGTTTTCACAGTACCCTTTTACAACAGGCTTCATAACAAGCAGCCACTCTTGGCCCCTCATAAACACTGCACCCTGGTGGCTGTACAACAGCAGAGCGTGAGTGGTGTAGGCTGAAACCCAGTTGCATGTCAAGTCCCTTTATCTACTAGTAAACACCACCCCCTCCATTTACCCCCTTTACCTTCAGTGCCAGATCAGATAAGCATAGGCTATATTTCCAGCATTTGTTTTGACTCCGTGCCCTGACACTGTGGTCTCCTCCTTTGGTGCCTGTGCTGTAGATGTTGCCTGACTGACTGTGAGCTGCTCTCTGACTCCTGCAGAGTGGGCCAGTCGTGGGTCAGATATGAATTGGATTTGCTTGTTTTTTTAAGTAGAAGGCTCAATTTGTAGTGAGTCAAAAATGTTAAAACGTGTTTCAACATTATTTGGACATGCACATAATAGATTCCTGTGTCCTCGGATCACCATGCCAATAACAAAAACATCTTGACTTCACATTTTCTTAATACAGTAGATTCACAGTACATGTTCCTCTATCTCCTGAATCGCTGCACACTTTCTGCTTATGAAGAGTTGAAGCCAGGACAGATGAGAGCAATAACATGTTGATGATGCAATTACCTTGCTAATGTTCTCATTACAAAACTGACCCCACTCGACACTACTCCAGGAAATGTAACCCTATTTGTCATAGTATGATATGTGGGGGCAAAATTTAATAGTGAGTTTGATATAACGACACTACTGATTTTGGCCTTCTGCTCTACCAACATAACTCTTTTTTTAGACTGCATGGGAGGCTTTTTGGAAACCCTTAGGATGTCAAGAAGCTTACGTAATCCGGACCAGGTCCTGTGTGTTTTGCTGTGTTGTTCTTCAGCAGACTGGGACCTTTATTATCTTTGTTTTGTTGCTTTTACTAGGACAAAAAAGAAGGGAATATTGCTTCCAGCACTTAGCTATGCTGTAGCTCTTTGTGACAAAACCTTTTGAAATATCTAATAAATGTTCTAATATGTTTCCACTTTTGTAACTCTGTCCTTCCTTGGCTTTTTCCTTGTTTCTTTAGACCCATTCAGAAGCTGACAACCAACTCTTGACACTCTTGACAACCAACAAAAGAGATGCAGAGAAGACCTTGGGAGAACTGTTACAATGGCTGAGGCTGGACAGGAGCACAACTGCTTTGTACAGAGAGATGATCCATGTTTACCTGCAACCGTGCAGCTCCAGGGCAGCTTTTAATCATGCCTCATTTGGTCTTCTTGAATAACTCTTGGCCCACACTGAAAAAGGCCCTCTTTTGTGATTTACAACTCAGTCTGTCGATGTTCCCCTTTCTCTGACCTCTCTGCTGCCATGCGGTTAGCCCCATGAGGCTCCGAGAGCCCCTCCTTGTGTGTCTGTGAGGCCTCCTCCCCACTCTATGGAGGCTGAGCACAGCCGTCCGGCTGATGGGGAGAGCTCTGGAAGGCAAGAGCAGCAGCACTTGACAACTGAATCCTCTCTAGGATCGTGTCCACCTCAGCAGCCCCAGCACCCTCCTAATCCTCGCCCTGTACACAGAGCCTTGGGTCGCCTGCAAAATCGCCAACCCAAACGCTCTGACCTTCTGCTTCGGTTACAGCAGCAGCAAGCAGTAGCATGGCAGCATTCAGACACCCCAGGTCCCTCAGGAGGCAGCTTCTTCTCTCCAGCTTCCTCATCAACCACATCGCTGCCATCTACTTCCTCCACCCGGGGTGAGCATGGCCAAGGGGTCCCATCTCAGTCCAGCCAAGAGGGCCTAGAAGGGGTCAGCTCACCCAGAAAAGGGGAGAAGAAACCCCAAAAACCAGGAAAATATGTATGCACTTACTGTGGCCGTCCATGTGCCAAGCCAAGCGTTCTTCAGAAACATATTCGCTCCCATACAGGAGAAAGACCCTACCCTTGTGCTCCCTGTGGCTTTTCTTTCAAGACCAAGAGCAACCTGTACAAGCACCGCAAGTCCCATGCCCATCGCATTAAAGCGGGCCTGGCATCCAGTCGTGATGAACCCAGTTTGAGTGGACCAGAGGGTAGTGGCGTTGGAGAAGACCCTGAGGAACACACGGAGGGAGAAAGCACTGAGTCTGAAGAAGAGACGGGCCAACACAGAAAATCCTCCTCTAAGGAGATGTTGGGCCAGCAGAGGAAAGGTGGTAAGGAGCCACTGGGAGGCTCAGAGGAGAGCCAGAGGCCTGAGGACTCCCAGGCTGTCAAGCAAAGGCTGGCACTGAGGCTTAGTGAAAGGAAACGTGGCCCGATGGCTTCTCCAGATGACCCTCCTTCCTCCCTCTCCACCTCATCTTCCTCTCAAGGCCCTGGCAGTAAAGGCAGCACAGAGTCTGGCTACTTCTCCGGGTCAGGCAGCACTGACCTGTCCCAAGTTAGCCCTCCCAGTGCCAGTGCCAAAACCTACGCAGAAATTATTCTAGGAAAATATGGAAGGCTGGGAGGGCAGCAGCGCAGTCCCCATCAGCAGCAGCCTCATTCTTTACTTTCCTCGTCTGCAGGAACGGAGGAGAAAAGCATTCCCTTCGCTGTACCCAAAACCCAAGTAATAGAACACATTACCAAGCTCATCACTATCAATGAAGCGGTAGTAGACACCAGGGAGATTGACAGTGTGAAGCCCAGACGCTCCTCTCTGTCCAGGAAGAGCAGCATGGAGTCCCCAAAATTCACCTCTCCGAGAGATCCCTACACATTCGACCCCAAAGGAGAAGCCCCTGGCCCTAGTGGTTTGAAGCACCTCCACAATCCTGAGGCGGATCCAGCAGTTACCCAGGAGCTATCAGCAGTGCCTCTGCTTAGAAGCCACTCAATGCCATCCTCTACCAGCCAAGGAGAGCCCTCCACCTCTGGCACCATGTCTCCCAAGGATTACCGTCTCTGTCAGTCATTCGATGAGCAGCAAGCGGTGGTAGCAGAGATGAGGGTTGGCCATGCCCAGCGTATGCTACGGCGCCAGCCTGCTATAGAAGATCCACTGGGAGCTGAGCTAATGCTGGAGGAGGCCGGCCCCACCTCTTCCTCATCAGCCAGTGGTGCCGAACAAGCCAGGCAGCTACAACAACAACAGCTACAACAACAACAACAACAACAACAACAACAACAACAACAACAGCAAAAGAGTCCGAGCCTGTTTGAATGTGAAGCATGTGGGGTCCACTTCCAACACAGTGAAGGCTACGAGGCCCACAGACGAATATGCCCAGGACAGCAAACCCTGGAAAAAGTAAGCGGGGATTCAAGTAAAACATGTCGGGAGGATCGCCCCCAGATGATGATGCGCTATACGTTCCGAGCACTGGCAATGGCCGCGAGGAAGAGAAGAAAAGAGGAAAGTCTGGAGGAGGATCCTCCCAGCCCGGGATCTGTAGCCATGTCAGGGAGCTCTGCAGGCCTCATTCCTGTGCCTAGCAGACCAGAGCACAGCCACACCCTCACAGGTTTGTTTATAAATCGCTGCAGCGGCAGATCAAATTTGTCAACATCATTCTGTGTGAGCAATATATTTCTTTCCTTTCATTTTTAATATCTGAGAAACCTTCATAGCGATGGAAAATATGTAAACATGTGATTATCTGCATCTACATCAATAGTGTAAAGCAATGCAAAAGCAATTAAAGGTCACCATTTAAAAGCAGTTTACCTGTATAATATAATGGTAGCTTTTTCTTCTGTATTTTGTTTGTTTCTAGGTGTTTCTTTACCGACTGAGCCACAACAACAACAGCAGCAGCAGCAGCAGCAGCAGCAGCAGCAAAACAGGAAGTGTGTGTCTGTCATCCAGCACACAAGCTCTTTTGAGAAGCAGGAGAGTGTATCCATGGAGAGTCAGGAAACAGAACTCAGAGAGAGTCAGCATACACAACAACTCGAGCCAAAACCATCACCGTCTACATCTCGCCTCATCCGCCAACCAAACATCCAAGTGCCAGAGATCCTTGTTACTGTGGAGCCTGATGCTGACATGCCATCGGTCTCTCCGCCAGTGACGGCATCCTCATTCAAGGTACATGATTATTTAAAATAGCATTTGGCCAATATGTTGTTTTTTTTGCATTTTACACAATTTGATTGCTTTGCTTTTGTTAACTTATTTAATTTCCCTTCCCTCAAATATTTGTAAAACATGCATTGATTTAAAGCTGTTTTTGAACTTCAACATCCTGGGAAAAATGTTTAGCATGTGAGCAGTCAATATCACCTCATCTTACACGTAATGTTAGTTTAGTAAACTATTTTTCTGTCCTAGGAGGCAGAGAGAGTGGAGGAGTTCCAATGGCCTCAGCGTAGCCAGACTCTGGCCCAGCTCCCTGCAGAGAAGCTGCCACCAAAGAAGAAGAGACTCCGCCTGGCAGAAGCAGCCCAGTCGTCTGGGGAGTCTAGCTTTGAGTCTGCATCTCTGCCCCGCAGCCCCAGTCAAGAGAGCAACATCTCCCACGCTTCAAGCCTTTCTGCTTCTTTCGAGGACACAGCAAGACCAGAGACTGCCATCTGGGCCTCAAGTAGCCAAAGCTCCCAGATGTTAATGGTGCCATCCGCTTCCCACCAACACCACCAAAGCCACAAGGAGATGAGGCGCTCCGCCTCAGAGCAGATCACAGCCACCCCCCAACAAACAGAACAGGTCTCAGAGACCAGAAGTAAGTCATTTGACTACGGGTCCCTGTCCCCTCAACAGTCTGCATCCTCCTGGAAAGAAAGGAGAAAGTGTCTCCTTGTGAAGCATGCTACCTTAGGGGAAGCTGAGCAAGAGGAGGGGGCCAGCATGAGTCAGCTGTCCAGAGCAGAGAGTCCAAAACCCGGGCCTTCCCGCTCCATCCATCCTCCTGTCTACTCAACAGAAGCAAGCTCCCGGTTTAGCCTGGAAGTCACAGCGAAAGCCTTGCAGCTGTTACAGCCACGGATCTTCCCACATTCTCAGGATGCGCTACCTTTGCAGCAAGCATTTCCCCCAGGATCATTATCCCAGCTGCTCCCCGTCACCACAGCCATCTCTGAAGTGCTATCCACCCAAATCACCCATAGAGCCTTCTTACATTCACAGGCAGCACCACCAGCTATACAGATACACCCGGGGCAGATCCACATGGCAGAACGGTTGGGTATACCATTCCATCAGCTTCCTGCTCTAGTTCCTCTCCCGTTCTCTTCCAGGACTACAGCTAATCAGGCTCTGTACTTGCCTTTTCCTCCAAGACTAACTGTTCCTTCCCTTCGCACTACAGAGAGCAGCCCCTCCATCTCCTCCATGTCTTCTGCTCTTACACATCAATCCCTTGTAAGAATCTCTTACCACCACCCACGGCCGGTCATCGCCACATGCCTGGCTCAGCTTACACCAGTGGTATCCCTTGTGGTGCCAGTGCGCCTCCAGACTCATATACCTACCTATGCCAGTGCCATGTACACCACCTTGTCCCAGATCCTGGCCTCCACCTGCTCACAGGAACCAATTTCTTGCACAGCCATGGTCATTATGGGCCAGGTGGAGCGGGACAAGTTGCAAAGGTCCTACTTGAAGGTCCCTTCCCCATACATCAAGAGCCTTTTTCCCCTTTCTCTGCCCACGGAGCTGGCCTCAGGATCTGGGGAGGGATACGGTCCACTGGGGACTGGAGGAAGTAAACGCATGCTTTCTCCTGCAGCTAGTCTGGAACTCAGCACAGAGGCCCAGCGCCACCAGAAAAGGGTAAAAGAGGAGGAGGAAGGGGAAGAAGATGAGGCTGGAGGGGAAGAGGAGGATGTTGAACAGAATGTAAGACAGGAAGAAGAAAGTAAAGCCACTGGGAGAAAACTGGAAGAGAATGAGAAGAAACAACCAGAGAGGGTAGAGCTGACAACTGTGAAAGTGGAGGGGGAGCATGAGCAAGTGCCAAGGAAACATAATAGGAAGGAAAAGGAGGATAAGGGGGAGGAGGAGGAGTCTACTAAAAAGACTAGTAAAAAAAAGGAGGAGGTGGCAGTTGTGGAAAAGGGGGCTGAAAGACCAGCCGCCCCTTCATACCCCAGCCTCCACACCTCCGCCTCAGTTAACTGGTGCTACCTGAACTACGTCAAACCCAACCCGTCTGCCCTGAGGGACCCCTGCAGCTCAGTCTATTCTACCTGGAGCATCAGTGCTCACAACCCCAACTTGCCGGGCCTCACCACTAAGGTGGCGTTGTCTCTGCTGTGCTCCAAACAGAAGCACAGCTCAGAAACGTACACCATGGCCACGGCCCCGACCCCGGCCAAAAGCAAATTGGCCCCTGCCAGTAGCAGGACCCCACGGGTGTCAGAGGTAAACATAATCACAATAAACACTTACATTTATAAGTCAATGTAGACCTCTCTGTTTAAGGAACTTTAAACATCTGTAGAAAATATTTCTATCATGTCTGTTGGATTTACATACTGTGCAGCATTAATGTGCTTAAAGGGCTTCGCCACGATTTTACTCAACAATGTCTCTTTCCAGGTCTTGAGGAATGCAATGTTATAGGAGTGCTTGGTGGAATACCAAAAAAAACAAAAAACATTTTATTTTAAGTTGTTTTGAATTTTTCTATGTGTGTCTTGAGTGTAGGTACATGCCACCCCACCCAGCACCCTCACTAAAGTAAAGGATCAGCAACAACACGACAAGGAGGAGAATAAAGAGATGAGAGAAGAAGAAGAGCCCTCCACCTCCAAACAGAGCGAGCCCTCTCGGGTTCGCATCTGTGAAGGCGGGTAAGAACTTCAAGAGCGAGACTGTTGACATGCACATCTTTTAATTCAAAATCCAACATTTTTCGAAAGATTGCAGGGCCTCATTACACAAGTAACCTGTTCTTCTGTCACAAACCAACGCCTGGTGACAGCAGAACAGCGACTATGGTGAGACGAGTGCACAGAGAATTACAGTAACAGATGGGAGGTAGTGGAACCCGCAGGGACTTCATTTGTACCTGCAGCCAAGCTTTTTCCTCTTACTCCTGGCATGGAAGTCTGTGTTTTAGAAATGTTATTTTGGAGAGATAACAGTGTGTGTGTGTGTGTGTGTGTGTGTGTGTGTGTGTGTGTGTGTGTG